GGTAATATATTTTTAGACTAATTTAGACCCTTTCTGAGAAGATATAAATGACTTCTGATGAACAATTTTATGAATATAAATCAACATACTTAGCAGACACTCTTTTATATATATTTTAATACGTACCGACTTATATTTAAAATAACAAATGAACTTATAAAATATTACTTTGAGAAGCTTGAAGATAAGATTTTTATACTAAAAATACTAAACATGCAGCCTAAATTACTTATTTACTTATAATTTGTGTTAAAGTATTTGTGAACTAATTACTCAAAGTAGGTACTTCTAAATATTTGAATGAAATATCTCTCCCAAATACAAGCGGAGTCAACAAAAGTTTTGGAATACCGCTCGAATGTTGTGGGTCACTTTTATATATTGGAAACGAAAAAAAAAAATAATGAATTTCAGGCACGTCTTCGGTCTGGACGAAAATTCATAAGGGAGATATTGCAAGGTTTATTGAAAAATAGTTATTTAGATTAGGTAAGCCCTGTATGGGCTTAATCGGCCATATTTCATGACTGCGCTAATACGCCATCGGTTTTGGCGTGAAATATTAATAGCTAGCTTTATTACATAGCATTTAATGACTAAGCATTGCAGTATTATAATTTAGTTTGAAAGATATTTTTGCACAGTCACCATATGCGGCACCATTATTTTACAGTAATCAGTTTAATGCAATTTATATATTCTAAAATAATACAATGTAATAAATCAGCCATGTCTGTTTATAAATGTATCTAAATAGAATTAAATATTCGTTGTATTTTAGTGCAATTAAAATTATGTATAATATTTTTGTGGAATATATGATAGTCATAGGTCAAAAACTAATGATTATCTTTATCTTTATTCCGTACTAAAATCGTTTAAAATAGGTAAAAATAGTTATTGTGAGTGTACCTTAGAAGACATACACATGGTTCTACCGTGGAATTTTTTCTAGGTTTTTTTTTAAGATCTACAATTTTCTAGTACATTGTTCTGTTGTATCCTTAAGAATTAAGCGTACGTGAGCAGTATTTTTGTATAAAATATGTATAAATTATATACAAAAATTTCGTTTGTCGCTCTTTCTTTTAGTAAACACGGTAAAAATCCGTTGCGTGGGTTAGAAGAAATAAGCGGAGATACAGACATATATCAATAAATATAGATGAGCTTGCAATCAAAAAAAGAATTGAATTTTCCAATAAAAATGAGAAATTTTACATACTTAATTCTGTCACTATCTATTTCATTAAAAAACAGTTTTTATTCAAAAAATACAATGGTAACAAATGCACACAGCCCTAACTCCTGAACTAGAAAACTGTGTTTCAGGAGCTAGTTAGTACCTTCCCATATCAGGCGTACATATTGAATGCATGAAATTACGTTATAATAATTAAATTTTTATTACTACAAAATATCCAATCAATCAATCGATTAATGAACGTGTTCACAAATATTTTTTATCTGTGAGATTGTTTGTTTAATATTTATTAATAATCTGCCATTTAATAACGTTATTATTCAATGTTGACATAATAATAATCAAGTTGGGTTAATTCACAGGTAGGTTTGCTTAATTTATCGCATGTAGTGTACTTTCCATGTTTATTAGCGTCATAAAATTAATGAACGACCCGCTTGATGGAGCTCGTTCATAATTTTATGCCGAAAATATTCGCAAATTACACATTTTCATGGAGATGATTATATTCTTTATTTAATGTTTTAGCTGAGATACGTATCTTTATATTGTATTATCTGGATTCTGTGTTAATAAAGATCTATTTAAAGTATGATCTTGTATAATTTTAATTTTTAATTTGTGTATTTTTTTAAAGCTTTACAAAGCTTACGATTTTAAGTTTTAAGTTGATCCTTGGAGCGATATTTTTTTGATATTTTATTTTTCAAATAATGAAATTATTATTTGTTTATTTGGTTCTTGAAATTAACTTTTTTACAGAAATACTTCATAATTTCAAAATGTATAGGTTATAATTCATGGGTAGTCTCAACTCTCATGTAATCTACGCTAATATTATTAATAGGAGAGATTGAATATTTGTTGGTTTGTACCGAATAAGCTCCGAAACTTCTGACCCGATTTAAATGAAATTTGGAAAGAAGATAGTTTGAGTCTGTGGGAAGGACGTAAGATAGTTTTGATCCCGGAAATCATCATCCTTTAAGGGGGTGGAAATGAGGATAAATATTGTATGAGGAAGCAACCTAGAGACGAACCCATGCGAAGAAAGGGTGAGTCGCTAGTGTGTTTAATAAAAAATACATGTCTGTGAGATTACAATCTAAAGATATTTTATGAATTTTGGCTTCAAATAAAAATACACAGAGGTGCAACCACAGGTTGTTGTAATTAAATATCTTTTTAAATTGTAAGCATAAAAACTGTTTCTGTATAAAGTTTTCATCTACCGGAAGTGGCGTGCATCATTCACGTAAGATAAATGATAGCAACATGAAGGATGGGGTCTGATGTAACGATTGCAAAAAAAAAACTAAAACAGACATACTAGCTAAACTTGCGGTTAAAATTTGTGGGTAAAAATTGAGTATTGAGTAAATTATTATAAATTAAGTATTGATATTATTAAATCAGTTCGCGGCTAATAACATAAGCCTTCGACCAATCTCCTTCGTGTCTTCTCCTTTATACGTGACATCGGCAAAGTAATCTGTGCTCAACTTGTACGCTTTGAAGCCATTAACAAGAAAATTGAATTGAATTAAACATAAGCTTTTATTTGTGAAGCATTTTTATTTAAAAGTAAGGTTAATAAGTATAAAAGGAGCTTCGGTCACGTAGGCCAATATCTCTGATAATCTTAGTCTATACACATATGGAAAATATCATAGTGCAAAAGAGAGAAACCATGTGCTCTATTTTTTCACAGCAAATAACTAGAGCGACCTTTAGAGCCTCAGTAGCTGTATAAGTATATTACAACCACTAAACTAATGAGAAAGTTAAAATTTAACTTCGTGTAGTAAGTTGTTATAACATAACTCCAACTCCTACTTAAATATGGCTGTGTGCAGAATGTAGGTACAATACTATTTTGTTAATTTTGGCAAATATAAAAGAAACTTATCATTTTTACTGTACAATGACAAAGCGCTAGTCAAGTGAATAGTTGATAAAAAGATAGACAAAATCTCATACTTTCTTAGATTTACGCGAATATTTGACATTTTAAATAAAACTATCTTTTCGGATTTTCGACGTTTCGAAAGCTTTACAGCAATCATGGTCACAGGAGAGACTAAGGTTATAGACGTCTCAAACACATACTTGTTACAGACAGTGCCAGTGTGTTTAAGATCAATGGGGGACAAAATCTGTTGATTTACTTATATAATACTTTTGAGTGAGTTTTAGTACGAGTTCCTTTCTATTACAGCTTGCCTGGAAGAGATCACTTTAAGTGATAAGGCTGCCCTTACACTGAAATATGTTTGTCAATTTTTGTATTTTATACATTGTATTTTTTTGGCGTAATAAAGGATTAAATAAATAAATAAAATAAATTTCAGCTTACTATATCCTAAATGTCCTTTTAAGACTAAATTACAGTGTTATATGTCTATTAATCTATTTTGAATGTACCATAACGTGCAAGTATTTGACTTATGATTTTCGTCAGCATCAGACGCATGCATCATGCATGTAAGATTAATGGTCGTATGAAAGTCGTGTCATGTTCCGTTAGCAAAAAATGAGAAATGGAAACGGATAGCCGATCGTTACTGTGTTGTCTTTCTCTTATGGATCAGAATGCTTGGAAAAAAAGCTTGGCATAATTTTCCGAAATGTTATTATTAAATAAATGCTTTAATATATATTGTATAAGTATATAATTATTTTAGTAATCTGCCTCTGAGCGGGAGATGGGTACAAATCTTCATTTCCTCAAAAAAAAAATATATTTTAGCTTCATTGATTGCGTGAGTAGTCTAAATATAGCTTCTTTTTAAAAAAACATTCCACTCAAGGGTCTGTATCTCATGTATTGTACTTGTGTCTTGATATTTGCCATATAGAAGAATTCGTCGCGGTCCAAATGGACATTCATACATTCTATATATGTTTTATTTCTAATACTGACAAATCTAATAAAATTGTTAAGAGTTTCTTCTCCCTGCCCATTTTCCAATCACTTGGGGTCGGCGCAGTACATCTTCTGTACTGCTGATAGGATTTGGCAAAAGTTTTACGACCGGCCGCCTGTCTGACGTCAACCATCCTTGGGAATGCTATTGTCTCTCTTTTTCTAGATGGTATCGCGGAAGTCTTGTCATAAGCACTATCGATTTTTTTGTTTTTTAAAACATTTTTTTATACTATTACTTAAATTTATAATGTTATTTTCGAATATATTTTAAAATAAATTTTGATTACACAATAAATTTTGTTTTTTTTTAATTGTTAAGAGTATATTTATTATTAAGTTACGATTACATTGATCATGATGTTCATGTAAGGCTGTACGTAAAGTGTTAGATATAGCCAATTTAATGTTTCGATACTAACGAAGAGTTAAGTAAAAAAACATTGAGTTTTTTTCTGTCAAATATGTTTGTAAAATAAAAAAATCGTCGAAATCCACATTTTTTCATACTTACCATGCTACTGTAAATAATATTGCTATATTTAATTATAATGCTTATTGAAAAAAATAAAATGTTTAGAATTAAAATCAATAAATATTGTAAGGTACTTTGATGTCATTTTTGAATTTTTGAAATCAACTTGTAAATTTGTGGGTAGGCACTGCCTGTAACAATGTAACGTCTTTGACACGTCTAAACCAATCACTCCGGTGACCATGATTACTGTAAAGCATTCGAAACGTCGGAAACCAAAAATCAAAATAAATCCGCGAAATGATCCTTGAAGATAGCTTTATTTAAAATACTTACCAGTTACCATGTTAATTAATTCTCAAATATTTCTCGTTTCAGATAACTACACTAACCCAATGTGCAAATGTAAGAATGTGATATTAAGATCTCCAAGAACTAGTCCGAAAATGAAACGCCGTTTGCCCGCGGTTAAGGAAGAGCCTAGGAGCCGAAGCATTTGTAATAGTGACCTAGCCATATACACAATGGTTGTGTCTACAGCAGTGTTAAGTTATGTGAACAGTTTGAATGGGGATTTTGTGCATGATGATATACCAGCTATAGTAACCAACGGAGACGTGGTGGGGACTAATAGTTTAAAACAGTTGTTTTTGGATGATTTTTGGGGCACTCCGATGGCTGATCCTAACAGCCATAAGTCTTATCGGCCCCTAACAACGTTGTCTTTTCGGTAAGTTCTAGATATAGTTATACTTTAATTAAGTAATATAATGCATTTATAATTTTAAAGTATTATTTTTTCATATAACATACATATTTATGAGAAATCGAGAGTATATTTTTATATTAAAATTCTGTATTTAAGGCTTAAATGAAAATTTCAGTATAAGGCATTCTAAAAAATCTAATTACTATTACGCAGATCGAATTTACGATGTATCGTTGATATTAATACGTATATTATAAGTAATACTAGTGACTCACCCTCGCTCCGCTCGGGTTCGTCCCTAACGTGGGCCACCCTTATCACTTAGGGGTATGGAAAATAGATAGTAGCCGATTCTCAGACCTACTGAATACGCATATAAAATTTGGTAAAAATCGGTAAAGCCGTTTCGGAGGAGTACGGTAACTAACATTGTGACATGGAAATTTTATATATTAGATTATAAACCCTGTCTCAAACTATAGGTTGTTTAATACAAGGTCTATGGTATGAAGAGCAAATGACGAAAGCCACTTATCACTTCTTATAGCAATCCGTCAATAGGTTCCTGTTGGGTGACTTCTCAATCTATACTAACATTATGAATGTGAAAGAAAATGTCTTTGCTAAACAGATTTTGATGAAACTCAAGTACTCGTATATACATTACATCATGGGGACGGATAAAGACTACCATTTAAGCCCTGAAAGAAGTGGGCCTCTTTATGCGAACGGAGTTGCGAGTAAAATTTGTATAATATCATTTTTCGTTTCAAGATAGCTCGAGAGCCTGAACAAATTGAAAGCCAGTTGCTAGGACTCAAATAAATGTTCATAAAGTCATGTATTCACGGACTATTATTTTCCGGCGTCTCGAAGTCAGCCATAAATTTTGCTGGCAAAACCTCTATTTTCATGAATTGTGGACTAAATATATCAACATGAAAATATTACTTATCTAATAATATATTCTTTACTAGTATCGTCTGAGATGAAAAGGCGAAATATGTCAGTCATACCATGATAATACGAGTATATAATTATTAAAATACTTTCATCTAATTGGTGTTTTATATGGAGAAATTATGTCATTAAACCACCCTAAATATGCGCATACATATTTATATTTGAGTATCTAAACTTGCAAAATATGTGATTTATTTTAAATCAAATTCTTCTTCGCTCAAATCATAATAAGAATATAACTTCTTTCATGTACTCCATATACTTTTAGCAATATATAAATGTCTTACACGAGTAATCTGATATAAAAAATATACTATGTCTAATCGTTACATGAAAAAAAGACAAACTGGCAATAAACCTTACATACTTTACAATTGAAGTGTCTGTTTGGAATGTCAAAATAATATATATATATATATATATATATATATATATATATATATATATATATATATAAAACAGAAGCTTCTGACGCCCGTCGGTACCAACCCGCACACTCATCAGAAACTTTGCTTCAGCGAGTCTGACAATGAGTTTAGTTCGCGGCGTCCGTTCGACAACTGATACGAATTTCTGATAAAGCGGGGTCTAGTACAAAAAGTATAGAGAGCGCACCCTCCAACGATCTGATGAAAAAAGTGGACGACAGACATGTCAGAATTCTGATAGTATGCGGGGTCTACACCAAAAAATTTGAGCAAAATGCCTTCCGGCGGCGGCGTCAGAAATCTGAGAGAAAAAAATTATAATATTCGGCAGGCCTTAAAAATTACTCAAGCTTAAGCAAATTTCCTTTTAAAAAAAAACAAATTAAAGTACATTTAACGTAAAAACTTAACCTTTATTCAACCCTTAGTAGTAGAAACTAAAATTGTCGGAAATCCTTGAAAATCTGTCTTCTTTGATATCTAAGAAGTAAATAATAAACCCCATTTAAACTTTAACGCCACATAAGTTACGACTAAGGAATGTTTCACACGATATATCTAAGTTATGCACTATGCTATAAAACTTTAGCGAGTTCATCGTTTGGTTAAGATCTAGCCCGCGGCGTGACAGAAATCCGTTGGCAAGTTGATTTTCTCCCTACATTTGTATTTGCAGTTCCATGAATTTAAGTTTGCTAACTACGCGAGAAACACGTGTGGATGTATCGACAACTTTGTTTGAGCTCGATCGAAGTTCGGTGGCTGAGATGATTTTTTTTGTTTGTCTATGTAAGCAAGTAGAACTAGCAAAATACCCAGTTCACATGTTTGGTTTTTTTTATATTAGAAGCTTCTCAGTGTTTATTTGTCCAAAGGAAAATTCGCCAAAAGAGTTTTTAATGCAGAATTTTTGACTTTTAAAAAAATGGTATTAAATACACATATTACTTTAATAAAGCCAAAAAGATGTATTTTGTTCATAAATGTATGTGTCTGTCGCGACCCCTAATCTATACTAATATTATAGAAAAGTAAAGTTTGTGAGTTTGTGACGTTGTAGGGGGTAATTTCTGGATCTAATGAACCGATTTCGATGAAATTTCGTAAGAAGATAGTTTGAGACCCTAGTAAGGACATAGAATACTTTTTATCCCGGAAATCATCCCTTAAATGGGTAAAAACGACGATGAAAGTTTTTAATATATAAATTTTTAGAGATAGTAATTCTACGTTTATAATATTGTATTTACAAAACAGACTTTATTAAGATTTTATTTTTATGGACCCTCTTTTACTAAAACATTTTTTTCCATATACTTAAACTTAACAAATGCTTGTAAAATATATCACCATATTTAGAGACAACACAATAATCCTATAAAATCGTTGTACAACATTAAAAACTTAGCACGTATGTAAATAAAAACGATATTCCCCTGAAAGAGCACCTACAAGCGTGCATAATAAATTATGATAACGCGTGACACCCACGCAAGCAAGAATAGCTCTTATCGCGTGCCGAATTTGCGCATCATGAAATTTATATTTATGGCGCTTTTGGATACTAAATTTTAACGAATTGTCATTTTAATCTCGCTCGCTACACATCAGGATGCTAAAAATAAATAGTGTTAAATGAAATGACAAGTTGAAAGGTCGTAAATTACAGGGGCGAATGGTTTTATGTATTACTTATGTTAATTTATGTTGATTTTTTGGAAGGATTAACCTTAGAATTGATGTATTTTGATGTTAGTAGTACTCGTAGAGCTCTTATATAGTAAGCAAACTGAAATGAAGATAAAAATTCTACTTTCAGACGATGCAAATATATTCGCGTTTTATTTTTTATAAGTGTGTCTGTTGAAGGATATTTTATATATTTGAAAAGTTTATTTTCCTTGTTTAGTTTGTATAAATTGTCGTAGAAAACTAAAAAATATATATACATATAGTAAAATTCTAGCTGAGCCGAATCTGTATATTAAATATTTTATGGGAAATCTTATTGAAATAGTCGTTATTATTAATAGAGCCGTTTTGCTGTTTTCGATAAATACTAAAGCTGTTTCAATACTTCTTTGAAGTAATAAACTTGCCTAGTTGTAAAATCATTTCTTAATGAAAAATATAACATCTGTATTTTACCATCTGACAAAGTAACTTATAATCTGTCTAAAGTATTCTTAAGATATTCTAAAATCTCAAATGCTTCTCAAATACTTAGTTTTCACTTTTTTAAGTATGCTGATTAGAAAGTAGTTAAATTAAATTTATAAAATAAATGTTCCACTGTTGGGCACGGGCATTCCTTCAATGTGCGAGCCATGCCACAGTCCACTGGCATGGCATGGCAAAGTGCAGGCTGGCATAATTCACATATCTTCCGAAAACTAGTTCGGTTCTCTCAGACTTTCCATGACTCACGATTTTCCATAACCACAAGATACAGTGATGAGTGATCATGTTTAAATTTAAAAAAAAAAACTATCTTTTCGGATTTTCCGACGTTTCGAATGCTTACAGCAATCATAGTCACGGGAGAGATTCTATCTCGTATCTCCTGTGACCAACGTCGGAAACCAAAAATCAAAATAAATCCGCGAAATAATCTGAAAAGATAGTTTTATTTAAAATATCAAATATTCGCGTAAATCTTAGAAATTATCATGTTTAAATTATTAACTTATTAACATTATTCAATACGTGAATGTCAGAAGGATGAAACCCAGAACTTTTAGCTTTGCGTCACTTTCATTAGTTTTTTTGCAAGCAAGTTACTGGGCTACACCAGTACCTTTTCATACAGATCTCTCATCAGAAACTTGACATATACAGATCCAATTTCTAAATACAAAAACTATGGCTAATACTGAAAGCTAATCAGTAGATTTATACGCTCGATATTGTTCACGCATATCACTTGGTCATATTATTTCAAATCGGATTTATACTATTGTTCACTTGAACAAAGGCTTCTGGTAATTACACGCCACAATTGATAGGGCCTAACACCATGATATTGTGCGTATTATTGAGATACTATCTGGATATACACGGCTAATAACTATATTCTAGTAATAATATCTAGATATATACTCGTACTTTGTTAGATTACCTAGCTAATGATATGTAAAGTAAGTAATTATGGTCAATTATGGTCGCTGATTTAATACAGTTTATGTTTTCATACCGTATAATGATTGTCAGATCTGTTAAGAATGTATGTCTTTGTGATTATTATTCTAATATTTATATATCTGTATTTTGTATTTATTATTTAGATTTTGTATTAATTCCAACCACTTTTCATCATTCTAGTATTCAGTTTTTTTTTTCAATTTACATATTTTATTTTCTGTTTTTTTTTTAATTATTTAAAATTATTTGAAAAAAAAATTTAATTTAATCCCTCCACAACCGCGGACACGCGCGGCGTGTCAGTTAACAATAGATTTCTTAGAATTTTAATTAATTTCTTAGAAATTTACCTGGAGATGTTAAAATGTATTTCTGAAATAAAATTTTGACAGAGTTTGCTAAAATCAGTAGGAGCAGTTTGGAAAAATTGTCTCAGGACTGAGAAAACATAACTTATCTATTTTTTGGTTATAAAAAAATACTGCAATGA